CTATCCTCTCTTTGATAAACCCATCTTCACCTACACTCATCCTTGCATCTTTTTAAATTTCTATGATTGGATGCTCCTTATGTTCTCTTAGGTGATGTGGGAGGGAAGGTGGAATGTGCGGTACCCTCTCCAGTTTTCAGACAATTATGTCTCCTCAGTTCTAAACCCAATTCAACCTTCTATCAATGATTTCCACTATTTGTGGAGTAAGATCTAAATCCTTAGCCATCCAAGACCTGGATCTTTATCAATACTGCCTGCCTACTCTTTCACCATGCCTTTTTTTCCCTAGTAATTCTGTTTTTGCTTTTTTTTTTGCTTCCATTATTTCATACCATTGTCTTATTCTGTGTGTCTGCCTATAACATTCATTAATTTTATTCTTCTCTTGCTCCAAAACTTACAAAATCTATTCATCTTTCAGATTTCAGTTTTGGCATATTTCTCTCTGATAGTCTGGGTCATCCTTTTTGTGCATGTCTCTCTTAATTGTTGCTGTTCTCAGCCTTGAACAGTACTCTCCATATGAGATGGTCAGCTCCTCAAAGGCAAGGACTTTGGTTTGCACCTTTACTCTCATGCCTGGCACAGGCCTGTGCTCAAGAAATGTTACTTAGTTGAATTCAACCTTGTAAAAATGAACTTGAAATTCCAACATATAATAAGAACTCATATTTGTATGATGTTGTATGCCTTACTAAATGCATTTTTATATCCCAAACGTCTTAATTTTTACATATATTTAAACAGATATTGCTATCCGTATGTTCTGATTAAGCAATTGAGATTTAGAGAGCCTAAATGAGCTGTTCAGAATGATAAGATTTATAATTTGCAATTCCAAGCTCCACTTTTCCAACTACAAATCCAGTTGCCAAATGTGGCCCTCCTCTCATCCCTCCAAGCCACTTTGTAGCTGTAATCTACAGGGTTACCGCCTTTATGTAATGAAATAATTTGACTATCCACCCAGGGAATCTCCAAACTTTTTTAAAAGTTTGAGTTGAGCTGTGCACCAATACTTTTGATTACTTTTTTAAGACTAAACAATAGAGTGAGTTAGGATTTGGCACACATGTAGATAGCTAGAAAACAAAGTTAATGAAGCTAATTAGTGTTATGGTAGAATTCCATTGCCTGTGATGAGTTGGAAAGTTTTAATACTAAGGCTGTATATGAAGGATTAGGTGATCCTAGGCCCTGTGAGAGCCAAAGTTAAGATAAAGAAAATGTAAATAAGCCCTGGCAGTGCAGTGGTTAAGTGTTTGACTTGTTGTTATCTGCCATTGAGGTGTCTGCAACTCATAGCAACCTTATGTACAACCGCTCTGAAGTCTGCCCTGTTCTGAGCCAGTCTCACTGACTCCTACACCCCTACCCCTATTACTCCATTTATTGTGTCAATCTGTCTTGTCTGGGGTCTTTCTCTCCTACGCTGTCTCTCCACACTTCCAAGCATGATGTCCTTCTCTAAGACTGGTCTCTCCTGGCTACATGCCCAAAGGATGTGAGACAGAACTTCAAAATTCTTTCCTCCAAGGAGAAATTTTGTTTCACCCTCACCAAGACAAACTTGTTCTCTTGGTGGTCCATGGTATGTTCAAGACTCTTCTCTAGCACCACAACCCAATGGCATTGATTCTTCTGTCATCCTTGGTCATTGTCCAGCTCTCTGATCAATAGCAGGTAATCGCAAAGATCATGGACTGGATCAGGTGCATCTTAGTCTCTAGGCTGACATCATTGCTCTTTAGCACTTTGGAGAGGTCCCTGACAGCAGACTTCCCCAGTGCAATTTGTCTTTTGATTTCCTGACTGCTTGTGCCAAGAGTGTTTATTGTGGAACCAAGCAAGTTGAAATTGTTAACAATCTCAATCTCTTCTCCATTTATCATGGTGCTACCAGTTGGCTCGGTGGTGAAAATCTTTGTCTTCTTGATGTTGAGATGTAATTGATAGTGAAGACTACAGTCCTTGACATTCTGCAGCAAATGTTTCAGGTATTCCTCAGTTTCAGCAATCAAGGTTGTGTCATCTTCATAATGCAGGTTGTTGATAAGTCTTTCCCCAATCCTTTTGCCACATCCCTCCTCATAGAGTCCAACCTCTTAAATCTGCATACAGATTGAAAAGGTATGGAGATAGGACAATTCCCTGTTGCACTCCTTTCCTGATTTTGAACCATTCAGTATTTCCTTGCTCTGTTCTGACCACTGCTACTTGGTCCAAGTATAGGTTTGACATAAAAACAATCAAGTCAGTGCTTGATTACTAACTGAAAAGTCCGTGGTTTGGATCCACAAGCCTTCCACAGAAGAAAGATGTGACTGTCCACTTTTGTAAAGATCGTAGCCTTGACAACCACATAGGACAGCTCTGTTCTGTCCTTACGGAGTTGGTTTTGATTAAAGACACATTGCTTGAAATAATGAGAAAATTTTGTTGGATTTTTGTTGTTATTGCTATTGGTATTGGATTTTTGTAAGGTTGGGTCTGGGAAGAAAAGGTTTAAAGGTTTATTTTAGGTGGAGCTTTCGGACCTTTACCCTGAGGAGGCCTATCAGTCAGATCAAGGTGAGAGTACCAGCAAAGCAGGAAAAATTAAAGAAACATTAGAAACATTTGTTTTATAAATTAAGAGCACTGCATGACAACAATCTTGAACAAGGGGTGCATTGTTAAGTAGCTTGGGGGAGAGGAGTGGGGAGGGGGAAGAAAATATGCAACAAAAGAAAATAAATATTAAAAAAACTTTAAAAAGAGCAAAAACGAGAAAAAGAGTGTCTATGATGAACAAAATTAAGAGCACAATATGTTTTATTAAAAGCATACAAAAGAAAACTTTTTTAGACTTTTGGTTACTATCTTTAGGATTATTGTTGAGCCATAGCTGACCCTCCACTAGGGGTTTTTTGTGTGTGATTTCACTGAAATTTTTATTAATTTTAATGAAAGTTTACAGAGACTTTGGGTTTCCATTCATTCATTGTTGCACTTTTCTCCCTTCCCACCGCTCCCAGCCAGTTCACTCTTCTCTTTGAAAAGTAAAAGAAAAAAATCTTTCATTGTTATACAATCCCTTCCTCCAATTGCACTCCACTATGAAGCCTTTGTTCTGGACTCCTGTCATGACAATAATACCTAATCACATATCCCTTTTAAACAGTTCTCTCCCTCATCTGTTTTAATGCACAGGAGGAGACTGCCTGTCTCTCTTCTGCAGAGCAGCTACTGGATTCGAATCACATACCTTTGGTTTGACAGTGCAGATTCTCACCACTAGGCCACCAGAGCTCAATCATGGATTAGTACTTTTTAAAAGTTTAATTACATATTGGGTCATCATGTGGTTGAGCTTCCTCTAGAACTCTTAATCCTGCCTCAGTTAAATCCTGTAAGTAATCTGGGAAACAAGGTTCCCCAGCAATGCCGTATCCCCAGAACCCTTATCTTCTGCCACATCATCTCCAGGGGCCAATTGGGAGACGAAGCTCAGGGAGCCTGGGAATCCACAGCAAATCTGCCTTTACCTTCAGAGTCTATCACCTTCTCTGAGTCTATCTCATTAGGAGACCAGACATGTCTCTGCAGCTGAGACAGTGAGCCTTCCTCAGAGACATGTTTCTTCCTTTTACCCAGCTTCCTTTAGGCCAGGACCTGTAATTATGCCCTTATTTTCATAGCTATACACACACAGTAATAAATCTCAGGACTGCTCTTTCAAGGTTCCATGGGACTACGCCGTGTACATACTTACAAAATGGACATACCTTTTAGCATAGTTTCTTTTAATTGTTGTTTTGTGCTGTTGGGTTGGGACCAACTCACAGCTGGCTCTCCAGCAGATTTCTGAGGCTGTAAATAACATGGGAGGACATGTTCCATCTTTCTCTTGAGGAGCAGCTGGTGGATTCAAACCACCTGTCTTTGGTTTGACAACACAATTCCTTACCCAGTAGGCCACCCAAACTCATTAATCAAAAGTCTTTAAATAAATTTACAGCTGAAACATTATAGTGCAGCTGGCGGTGATGATTAATCTTATGCAGGAATGGTTGAATTTTTTTCTTATTGTGTCCAGCAAGGACTCTGGAGATTATCTTGTGTGGTGTTCTCATTTTGCACTGGATGATGAGGTAGAGAATTGATACGAGAGGAAGTCTTTCAACAAGGTGGATTGATTCAGCAGCTGTAACAATGGCCTCCAGCCCATCAGGGACTGTGAGGATGGGACGAGGTTCAGATTTGCCCTTCATATGGTCATTATGAGTTGACTCAAAGACACCTAAAAAGAATAATAGGAGGACTAACCTCCAGAAAGAAAAATTTTTTTGGGGGGGTGTGGGGGTGTACTTGGCATCCTTTTCCTTAAACGAGTATCAAAATGAATTTATACACCTGGGCTGCTGGGTCATTTTGAAGTTTGAGTGGGAAGCCTTAGGTAGAGGTACAGAGCCATATGTACAGAAGAAATGGAAGACTTGCATAGAGGTGTATTCTCAGGCTAGTCCTTCCAGCAACAAATGCTGAAGCTATTGATAACAGCTTAACTCCATGGGATTTCGGCTAGGACACTGAGCTTGACTTTGATGCCTTTAAGGTGTCTGTCACCCACTGTTGTTTGATGAAGCCGTATTTCTAGAGTTTGAGCTCTGGCCAACATTGTTTCATGTCACAAGGCTCCATCTTTCATCTTCTAGAATAGGAAGCAGCAGAATCTGTTCATTCAGAGCCATTGCGGATGTACCGATCTCATCTTACCTGCTTAAAGACAAGAAATGGGAAGGGAGGTTCACAGAGTGAGTCACATTTACATAGGTGCAAATCGTTTCAGGCACATTTAGAGGCTTCTTTGTGAAAATGATATATTTTAAAATTTGAGATGTAGTTGTACTTACTCTAAAAAGTAAAGAATAAGTACTTACTCTAAAAAGTAAAGAATAATAGGGAACGGACATAAGTTAGCTCCCTTTCAGCTCAGGGTTTTCTCTGCTTTTCAGCTGGAAGTCAACTTCACCAGTAAGGATAACGATTTCGACCAAACATTCGACCTCACTGGGCTGCAACCTTTTACAGAGTATGTCCTAGCTCTGCGATGCGCAGCCAATACTTCAAATTTCTGGAGTGACTGGAGCCAAGAAAAAACGGGAACAACCGAGGAACAAGGCAAGCTACCCTGGTGGTTGGAAATGCCTTTTGACTTGCTCTGGGTGAGGGGTGCGAGGCTACAGTCTTTGTGGGTTTGGTCAGGTGCCGAACTACAGAGTTATTGAAGCCCAGGACCTAGAGGGTCAGTTTGCTCTCTCTGCAGGGCACTCACTGGACCTACCTTCACCCACAGGAGTATATCAACTCTAGTCTCCTGCTGTTAGTTTTGATCACCATCCTAATCTCCAAAAAGCAAAAAAGGTCTACTAATAAGTAGGAAAGAGAAAGGGAACACTGATTAAGCACTTATGTATCAGGTGTGGTGATTAAGAACAATTGGTGGGCTTGGCCTAAATCCCAACTTGATGCTTGAATGGCTTCAGGAAAGATACTAAGTCAATTCCAAGGCAATGATTCCCATTCACCCTTTCTGAGTGAGACTATAGCGTGTAAAATCACGTCAATGGTAGCACCTATTTTTCGGTGTTACTGTAAAGATTAATATTTAACACGTATCATGGTGGGCTCACCTCATGTAGTCAATACATTCCGGATTTTCTGTTGTTGTTCTTAACCCTTCCAAGAATCTACTAAATATTAATATAACCACACTCCAAGGAGGCTGAGTTTCAGTGATGCTAAATAAACGTGCTCAAGGCCACTCAGAGGGAAATCATTGTTCCTATTATTCCAACTCAAGTTTACTCATCATTGAAATTGCACTTTTCCTGTTATATAGAGGATGTCATAAGGGTTAGGAGTGGTGGGAGTGTCTGGTAGGAAGCTGCCATTCTCTGTAAAAGACTTTTACCTAATCCTTTATCCTCAGTGGATAATCAATATATATTTGATAAACACATTCGCTTCCCATGACTGTTATGAAAAATTATCACAAATTTAGTGCCTTAAACACAACTTTATTCTGTGACAATTCTGGATGCCAGGAGTCTGAAATGAGTTTCACTGAGTTAAAGTCAAGGCTATTTCCTTCTGAGGGCTCTGAGGGGGAAAAGATTTCTTCATCCTTTTTTTAAAATTTTTTTTTATTTCAATGAACATCTACAGATATTTTGGAATTCCATTCATTCATTGTTGCACTTTTCTCCCCGCTCTTTATCCTTTTTTTTAGCTTCTAGTGACTACCTGTATTCTTTGATGTATGTCCCATCTCCATCTTCAAAGTGTCTCACTCCCCTCTTTGCTCCACGACCATGTCACTTTTTTTCTCCTGTGTCAAATCTCCTTCTTCTTTCTTACAAGGACTGAATTTCACTAGGGTCCACCCAGACAATTCAGGATACTCTATCTCAAGATATTTAATGTAGTCACATTATCAATGTGTGTTTTTGTTGATGCTGCTATTTATGTAAAGGAAAACTCACAGGAATTAGAATTTGGAGACTATAATTCAGCATAACACAATCAATGAATGATTAGTGAGTGCTTGGTTAAGTCCATACATCTTCTAACATGTGGAAATAAATTACAAAATACAAAATTGCTGATCTTTCTAATCTCTCTGGATTTAACATTATAAGAAGATGTAGATTTTAGATCTTTAATGCTTTCATAACTAAGAAATAACTTCTCTTTAGCAACATGCCTCCAGTATATGAGGTGAAGCATTATATTTGTCTTCAAAGAGCACTCTGGCTGCACTTTCTCCAAGATGTATTTGTTTGTTTTCTGATGTTTGTGGTACTTTGCTCATTCAGTGCTTTGCTGAAAGAACACAAAAGCATCAATTCTTCTTCTGTCATACTTACTCCAGCTCTCAGATACATAGCAATTTGTTGGAAAGAACATGACATGAATAAGGCACACCTTAGTCCTCTAACTGAAATCATTGCTCCTCAATCATTTGGAAGGGTCCTTAACTGCAAACTTTGCCAGTGCAAGACGTCTCCTGATCTTCTGTTAATACAGCTATTATTCTAATATACACCCCTACAGCTAATGCCAAAGAAGAAGACATTAAAAACTTTTACCAAATCTTGCTGTTTGAAATTGACCAAACATGCAATCAAGATGTGTTCATGATAATTAGTGACTGGAATGCAAAAGTTGGAAACAATGAAGAAGGAATGGCTGTTGGAAAATATGAACTTGGTGAACTTCCATGGGGCTGGAAATAGAATGATTGAATTTTTTGTGTTCAATGATTTATTCATCACAAATATTTTTTAAAACCCACAAAAATGACAACTTCACACAGGGACTTAACCTAATAGGCTGCATAGAAATCTGATTGAATACATCTGTGAAAGGAATAGTTGGAGACACTCAATATTAGAAGTCAAAACTAGGTCAGGGGCAGACCGTGAGTCAGACCATCAAGTTCTCTTGTGCAAGTTCAAATTGAGGATGAAGAAAATTGAAACAAATCCATGAGAACCAAAATATGATTGTAGGAGTCTATCCCACCTGAATTTCAAAGTTATCTTAAGAATAAATGTGAAGTATTGAGCACTAATGATTGGAGACCAGATGAGTAAGGGGATGACATCAAAAACATCATCCATAAAGAGAGCAAAAGGTCATTACAAAGGCAGAGCAGAAAGAAAAACCCAAACAGATTTCAGAAGATTGCACTAGTGTGTCAAGAAGGCAAAGTGAAAGATGCTGAAGAAAAGAGCTGAATAGAAGATTCAAAAGGGCCTCTGGAGAAGACACAACAAAATATTATCATGAAATGTGCAGAGAAATAAAACTGGAGAATAAAAAGGGAAGAACTCACTCAGCATTTCTTAAGCTGAGAAAATGGAAAAAGAAATTTAAGCCTTGAGTTGTGATATTGAAAGGTGCAGGGGGCAATGTGCTTGAATTTGTTTAGTCCTGAAAGTGCTCACCAGGCTGTGCCAAGAAATATGGAGAACAGCTACCTGGACAATTTACTGGAAAAGATCCACATTTACTCCTATTCTCAAAAAGGTGATCCCACAGAGCGTGGAAATTATCAGTCTCACTAATACCACATGCAAGCAAAATCCAGTTAAAATTATCCCAAAACAACTGGAACAGGACATTGACAGAGAACTGCTAGAAGTGAAAGCTGGGTTTAAAAGAGGCTGTGGCAGCCTAAAGAAACCATAACTGCCACCCAAGCAGATATATGCATGCTCATGTTTATTGCAGCCTTTTTCACAATAGCAAAGAGTTGGAAACAACCCAACTGCCCATCAACAAAAGAATGAAAGCTTTGGTATATTCACACAATGGAACACTATGCTGCATTGAAAAACAAGGAACTCATGAAATACTATACAAAATGGGTGACTCTGGAGGACATTATGCTGAGTGAAATATCTCAGTCACAGAAGGACAAATACAGGACTGACATTAGGGTTGGGGGGAAACAAGAGGGGATAAATAATGGATACTGCACTGAGATAAATGAAGGAGAAAACTGTTAGGATGACTATATGATTAGGTACTATTGTCATGACAAGAGTGCAGAATGAAAACTGCATAGTGGAGTGGACTGGGGGACGTGGAGGAAATTGTTTAACAATGAAAGAATTTTTTTTTTATTTTTTATTTTTTGGTCACTTTTCAAAGAGAAAAACAAACTGGGGGAGGGGTGGTCAGGGAGGAAAGTGTGCAACAATGAATGAATGGAAATCCAAACTTTCATTAAAATAGAATTTAAAAAAAGAAAAAATTTTAAAAGTGGAAAAGAAAAAAGAAAAGAAGAGGCAGTGGCACTAGGAACATCATAATCAATGTCAGATGTGTGTTGGCTAAAACCAAAGAGTACCAGAGGAATGTCTATCTGTGTTTCCTTGACTATCAAAGGTATTTGACTATGTGGATCACAACATATTGTGGCTGATCTTGAGGAGAATGAGAACCCTAGAATACCTGTTCATGTGAAACCTATACTCAGACCAAGAAGCAGTCATCCTGTCTCCAAACCTTTGCAATCTATATGTAGAAGAGATCACTTGGAAGGTTGGACTTTATGAGGAAGAATATGACATCAGGATTGAAGGAAGACTCATCAACAACACGCACTATGCAAGTGACACAACCTGCATGCCAAAACTGAGGAGGACCTTAAGCATTTTCTACAGAAGATAAAGGACTGTAGTCTTCAAAATGGATTGAAGCTCAACATCAAGAAAACAAAGATTCTCACCCTAGGCCAATTGGCAGGACCATGATAGATGGAGAAGAGTTTGAAATTGTAAACAATTTCAGCTTGTTCAGTTCCACAATCAACACTCTTGGCACCAGTGGTCAGAAAAATCAAAAGACTAATTGCATTGGGAAAATCTGTTGTCAGGAACCTCTTCAGAGTGCTGGGGAACAATAGTGTCATTCTAGAAACTAAGGTGTGCCTGATCCAGGCCATGGTCTTTGCAATTGCTTGCTATGCCTCAGATAGCTGGACAATAACTCAGGATAGGATACGGTTCAGAGCTATCGTGCATAGGGTCTCTATGAGTTGCAGCTGATTAGATGGCACCTAACCACAACAACAGTGGGCAATATGTTGAATGATCCAGAAAGCATTAAACACAGAATCACTGTACAAAAAAGAATTGACTGACACTAAAAAATTTCAACAAGTACCATATAAAGAAGAACCAATGCAAGAAGCTGAAGCTGCACTGAAGGCATTGGCAAAAATATAAGGCCCCAGGACTCGATGGAATACCAATTGACATGTTTCTATTAACAGTTGCATCCTTGGATGTGCCTACCTGTCTATGCCAGGAAATTTGGAGGACAGTTGTCTGGTTGACTGATGGAAGAGATTGATATTTGTTCCTATTCTCAATGAAGGTGATCTAAGAGATTGAAGAAACAATCAGACAATATCATTACTGTAACATGCAAGCAAAATACTGCTGAAGATCATTCAAAACCAGCTAGAACAGTACTGATATGGAACTGCAGGACCTCTTATTTGCTGATGTCAGATGGGCCCTGGCTTAAAATAAAGAAATGCTAGAAGAATGTCTATTTATGCATTATTGGCTGTGTGGATCTTAACAAATTATGGTTAACATTGA